ACAGCGTCTGCGGAATCGTATTTTACTAAATATGTATAACATTTAATTGATACCTTTTTTATTAGAAGACATTTCTTTTTTTATTTAGATAATTTATTTATTAATATTACTTGCTTTATATAGTGAAGCTAAAATACAGAGATTGATTGATCTTTGAATTTGATAGGATCTAAGTTCATTCGCTATAATACCTATTTAATATCTATACATTTTAATTGAGCATGACTATTTAAGCATGAAATTTGTAAACATCTACATTTATGACAAATTTAAAGAAATAATTCTTCCACTAAATTATGACAATTATAATTCTCAACCTTATTCAAATACCACGTTTTTAAATATTGTTTAATTGTTAATAGATCTTGATGAGTTAGAAATGAAAGAAATTTAAAGAAACTCTCTAAATTTTTTTTAGAATTGTTATAGCTAAGATTTACATAAGCTACTCTTAAAACATTCTGCAAAATAGGAGCTGATGCTCTTATTAAACGGAAACTTTCTGTTCCAAAAGTAACGAGAGTTCGTAAGGAATCAGAAGATCTATGAGATTGGTGATGAGAGATCATTAAAGATGTAGCATAGAAAGATTCCTCAATAGAAACAGATCTTAATTAAAAAAGGAAAAACCTTTAAGCGTTGTTGAAACTATCAGACTTATTGGTTGTTTAATATTTATCAAAATTGTCAGGAATGAAAATTTGAAAAGGCTTCTATTTGAAATAGGAGATCTAGATGGAAAAGGATTAGAAATAAAAGTAAGCTGATAGGATGGGTTCTGCTTAATGACTATTATGTATGTACTTGAGAAACATGAAAATTATATTTTGTAAGTAAAAATTCAACAGGTATTATATTGCTTATATTTGTTTATAAATAGAATTACAACAGAAAATGTTAAATTAGTGTTCAAATTATTGGCACGTGAATCATATAATTTCTAATTTAAAACAGATTGTTACTATTGAATAGAATGCAAAGAGAGGATTAGTAGTTGAAATTATATGATGAAGGAAGATAGATTTGTGGGGCTATCACTTTTACTTTCAAATTTGATGAAGGTTTTGAATTGCCACAAAATGAAAACTCATGCTTGATACAAGATCATACTATAGAATATGAAGGTTGCAAATTTTTAGCACTTCCCACCGACCTGAACATTGAGTATTGTTATACTATAGATGAAAAAGAAGAAATCAAATTGGATGTCAAGGATTATTAATTGGATGATATTTCTGACTTTGAAGAATAGAAAAATTGGAATGAATCTAAAACTTCTTCTTAATTTTTTATTCCTTATTTCACTACGAGTCCAGATAATCGATATATATTTATATGTGTTGCTGTAGAGCTTATAGAAAAGATTGAAACTTAACGAATAATCATAATTGATACATTTAATCCCAATATCAAAAAGGTGTTTTTTAGGACTTCTTTTATGGGATACCAAAGACCATAATTTTCTAAGGATGGCAATTTAGCTTTCATCAATATTACAAAGGATGAGGATTAATCAAGATTCTTAATATTGAATCTTAAAGATGGAATATGAGAAGTAAAAATCATTAAATTGCACCGTTCAGTTAGAAAAATAGATTATGATGTCGAATCTGGTTGTTTGTTTTATATAACTAATTATTGTGAAATACACCAATCACCATTGAATTAAGATGGCACTATTGATAAGTCAAAGAAAACAATCTATAAGGTTGATTTGGGACCATTCGATTTGTCTGGTTTTTTCATTGCTCTCACTTTACTTAGCCATTAAGTTGTGCTTGTTGTAAATGATATAGGCCATCTTATTGTTTCTAGAATTAGAGACAATTGTAAAGCAGTAAAATGATATTTGTGTAGTCAATATTTACCCCCATAATACACATTTAAAAACGCATTTGTTGTTATGGCTGATTCCAATTAGAGGTAAGTTGCACTGGTTGATATTTCAAGGGGCAGGTTAATTAGATCACGGTAGGGGGGTCATTATTTTTCCAGAATTTATGGTTATCATTAGAAGGATTCATATTTTCTCTCTTATGTGGTTTTAAATAGGAGCTAAGAAACCAATGATAATTAGGGTTCTGTAGGGAGTGATAGTGATAGTGAAGTAAGGAAATAATGGTTGATTTTTGATGTTATTAGAGGAACTGAAATTGAAATAAAAGGAGATGTGTCTTCCGATGATCCCTCGGATATATTTACAAAAAATATTATGATGAGATCATAAGGAAATAAATTAATTTATAAATTAAAACTTTGAGCTTTATAGTTTGAAGAAATATTTGCCAATATTAATATTTTAAATTCATTTTCAATAGACTTTCCAAAAATAAAATCTCTGTTTTTCAATACAATCATTATTCGTGATTCTCCTTAAATAAAATAAATAATTGAGTTTATTAGTTGAAACCTCTATAATATAACACAGTTTATATGCAAATATTTATCCAACTCTACCAGAGTCAGGAATTATTACAAAAATACTATACAGAGAGCATATATTTTGATCTTATTCTCATTTAAATTAAAACTTATATTTGAACTGAAGGTTTCAAGATCCTCAAGACATTGTTAGATATTTTGAAGTTATCCTTTTATTTACTTTTAAATCATCTTGCGAGTTAAATTTCTAATACTTGATTCATTGCTTAATCTTAAAGTGAAAATAGAGTTATTTTTAAAATTTATTTGTTCATTATCAATCACAATGTAATTTATTAATGAAAACAAATTATTTATTCAACACAACAAATTAGAAATCAAGAATAATACAATTTTAAGAATATATATTAATGTAAATTTTTATAAAGAAGAATTAACTTTCAAAACCTCTTGTTTCTTTTTGCCTCATATTGCTATAATCAATCGATTAATGAACTTAATTTTAATTTAAAATTACGAGTTTAAAGGAGGTTAAACCAATTCGTTAAACCTTGTTAAGGATTGAAATAAC